ATAAAAAGGCGAAAAGTCTTATGCTCATGTTCATGGAAGATAACTTAATCAAAGTTTTTGAAACTTATAAGACTTCCATGGACATGTGGAATGCAATAAAAGAAAAATACGACACTGCTTCTGAAGTTAACATCCAACTACTCTTGCATAAGTATAATTCTTGTCGTATGCAAGAGGGAGACAATGTCGTAGAGCATATAAATAAAATGATTGTCATGGCTAAGGACTTATCCACTGCTGGGACCGAAATCCCGGAAAGAATGCAAGTAGCAACCATTTTGAATAGTCTTCCCCCTTCACTTGCTGTGGCTGCCACCACATTAAGAATGAATCCTGCCATTAAGTCTGTCACTGATCTTCCTATGCACCTAGCGATAGAACAGGATTTAATAGCCAGTAGGAAGGAACCAGAACTGAATATGGTGCAGCAAGAGCTGAATTATGTCCGCCAGAGGCATAATACTGGAAGCTATAAAAACCCTGGTGCCAGAGGCATAATACTGGAAGCTATAAAAACCCTGGTCCTAGTAAACCACAACCGCGAGGACCGAAATCACAACAGTTCAAGAGAAAGAAAGTATCCCGCGGAGCCTGCTACAATTGTGGAAAGTTCGGGCATTTTAAACCCAATTGCCCACAAGGTGAAAAGCAGGAGAATAAAGGAGGCTATAAGCATCCAGAACAAGGGGGTACTAGCAAAAGAGAATTCGTCGGTGTGACGGAATGTAATGCTGTGATGACGGATATCAGTGGTTGGTGGATCGACTCCGGTGCGACTAGGCATATCGCAAAGGATAAGAATGGAGTCGTAGAATTCACCGAGCTGAAGAAAGGAGAACAGAGAATCTATATGGGAAATAATACCTATCTCGATGTAGAAGGTATTGGTTCGTATAGATTGGATCTTGGGGACAACATTCTTGTCCTCAAAGATGTGTTCTATGCGCCAGGAATTCGACGCAATCTGATCTCTGTTCCCAGCTTGATGAAGAAAGGACTGGAAGTTAGGTTCTATAATAATAGGGTTTCTATAGGCAAGAATAATAAAGTGTATGCTATGGGTAAATATGTGCCCGAGCATGAATTATGCATTCTTCCAGTAGTTTGTAATAATTCTGATAATAAAATTTCGAATTTGAACTACTTGTCTTGTTATATTTCCGAATCTGAATTGTGGCATTCTAGACTAGGACATGCTAGTATTTCAAAAATGAAAGAAATTATCAGAATGAACTTGCTTCCTGCACTATCTAATGTTCAATTGTCACCATGTGAACATTGTTTAACTGGTAAAATGACTAGAAAACCTTTTGTTGGCTGACATAGAGCCAATGAACTTTTAGGGTTGATACACTCGGATATTTGTGGTCCCCTAAGTGTCAAAACTCATAGTAATAAAGAATATTTTATTACTTTTATAGATGATTATTCCAAGTTTGCACACGTCTATCTTATATCCAGAAAATTAGAAGCTTTTGACTGCTTTAAGAGATATAAGACAGAAGTTGAAAACCAACTTGGATTGAAAATCAAAATTCTGAGAACTGATAGAGGTGGAGAATATAATTCTAAAGAATTTGAAAGTTATTGTATTCAGCATGGAATTAAAAGGCATACAACAATGCCGTATACGCCATAACAGAATGGTGTTGCTGAAAGAAAAAACAGAACATTATTAAATGTAGTTAGATGCATGTTGTCTCATTCTGGTCTCTCTAAAAACTTTTGGGGAGAAGCATTGTTAACTGCAAACTACATTTTAAATAGAATTCCCACCAAATCAGTTATATCTACACCTTATGAATTATGGAATGGGAGGAAACCTAATTTGAGTCATCTCAGGAAGTGGGGATCTATAGCCCATGTTCTCATTCCATGTCAACTTAGAGATAAGTTGGATTTTAAAACAATAAAGTGTAGATTCATAGGGTATTCAGAAAAGTCAAAAGGTTATAAGTTCTACAATAAAGAAAAAGGAGTCATTGAAAGCAGAGATGCTACATTTTTAGAGAATCTAGAGGAAGAGGAACAAGTTCAAGAGGAAACAGAACCTCTAACTGTAATAGATGATGATTATTACAGTGTTGTTCCCACTAATGACCCTGATATTGTGAATGAACCTAACCTTGAAAATGATGAAATACCTATGGAAAATAATGTACCTAATCAACCGGTTGTAGGCAACAAAAGACCAAGAACACAACCTTCATGGATGGATGATTACTATTTGTATTCATGTGAATCATCCTGTTTTTCGGTAGATACAAATATAGAAGAACAAGATCCCTTAACTTTTTTTGATGCGATGAAATCGCATGAATCAGCTTCATGGCTAGAATCTATGAGAGAAGAACTTGATTCCATAGAAAAGAATAAGGTATGGGAGTTATGTGATCTACCAGAAAATAGAAAAGCCATAGGATGCAAATATGTGCTCAAAAAGAAATATCGTGTTGATGGATCTATTGATAAATTCAAAGCACGGTTAGTTGCCAAAGGTTATAACCAGAAGGCAGGAATAGATTTTCAAGAGACGTATTCTCCTGTAGCTAAATTTGCATCCATTAGAATTATTTTGGCTATTGTTGCATATCTTGATTTAGAGTTATTCCAAATGGATGTTAAAACTGCATTCCTTAACGGAGAGTTGAAGGAAGTAATATATATGCAACAACCCGAAGGTTTTCAGGTAAAAGAACAGGAACATAAAGTTTACAAATTAATGAAATCTTTATATGGTTTAAAACAGTCTTCTAGACAATGGTATCTCAAATTTCATGATGCAGTTACTAAACTTGGTTTTATTCAAAATAAATTAGATAATTGTGTATATGTCTTGAAAAGTGGGAGCAAGTTTACTATATTATCCTTATATGTGGATGATATATTGCTCGCTGGAAATGACATAGAAATGTTGAATAAAACCAAGGCAGATCTCAGCGAAAAGTTTGAGATGAAAGACATGGGAGATGCATCATATATTCTTGGAATTCAAATAATTCGAGATAGAAAGTCTAGAATGCTAAGTTTAAACCAAGAAAAATATTTAAGATCAGTTCTTAAAAGGTTTGGAATGGAGAATTCCAATCCGGCACCAACTCCGTTGGTTATGGGAAAGAGATTATGTAAAGAGCAAAGCCCTGGAGAAGGGCAGAAGCCATTAGATTTTCCTTACGCTCAAGCAATTGGAAGCTTGATGTATGCAATGTTGTGCACCAGACCTGATATAGCTTATGCTGTGAGTCTAGTCAGTAGATATCAAAGTAATCCAGGACCAGCACATTGGGAAGCTGTTAAAAGGATTATGAAGTATATCAGAGGTACATTGACTCATAGATTAGTTTATCAAGCTGATTCGCTTGAACTCCTCGGTTATTCCGATGCTGATTTCGGAGGTGATAAAGATGATGGAAAGTCCACTTCGGGACACTTATTTATCTTTGGAGGAGGAGCTGTTTCTTGGAGTAGCAAGAAACAAGGGTGTGTTGCTAGATATACGCAAGAAGCTGAATATATAGCTTGCAGTATGGCAACTACACATGCTGTCTGAATAAGACGATTTTTGATTGATCTTGATCTCAATTTGTTAGAAGGACCTATTGATATTTATTGTGATAATCAAGCAGCAATTAGCTTAATCAATAGTGGCGCGAATAGCTCCAAAGGAAAACATATTGAGATCCAGTATCACTATATTCGAGATATTGTAGAAAAGGGAGAAGTCAAAGTGACTTATATCCCTACTACAGATATGATTGCTGATCCTTTGACAAAAGGAATAACAGCGGAATCTTTTATCAAACATGTAAGTTTGATGAGACTTAGGAATAAATAAGTCCAAGTAAAATTTCATGAATAATGAAATAAGAGTTACTCTCTACGGATAGTGGGAGTAATGGTAAGCAGAAACATCCGATCTCACGGATAGTGGGAGGCATGTCACTTGGTTAATTTGGTCAAGTGGGAGATGTTAGCTTGAATCGGTCTTCGGTGACCAAATCAACGTTCGTTTCTCTGTTAAGAAGAACGTGGGAACGTGGGTTTGTTGAGAGGAAATCTCTCATGGGGCGGATTTGAGGGGGTGGAGATAGTGGGCTTAGCCCCTATAAAAGGAGGGTCGATCTCCTTCAGAAATTACAACAACGAAGAAAAGATAAAAACCTCTTACCCATTATCGGAGCCCCCTCAAAATTCCATCGCTGCTCCTCTGATTTCAAGCAGTTGATGGAGAGATGGGATAGCCTAGAAAATGTCGCTGAGGGATTACCGGTGAAGGTCTTTAACCATGAATGCACCCTCCGCATTAGCCTTCCAAGCTTCTAACATCCGGTCGTAGGTTCAACCGTGTGAACTTTAAGGTACTGAGTGAAGAGTTATTGCAGTGGTCGTCACCTCCTAAAACTTTAGTCGGAGTCCAAATAAGGTGATTATGATCAAATGCTTCCGTTTGATAATATGGAAAATATTTCTGGGTTTCTGACAAATAATTGGTAGTCTATAAATGCAATGGTTTCATCAAGATACAGAGAAAAAAAATAACTAGATTATCCTATATCCTTGTGCATCCCAACCTAGTCATCATCTCCTCAACCTCGATCAGTTCTTGTTTAGGAATTAGTCACAGCCGGTGTGGATTTCTCGCCTACCAAGGAGTGCTTATCCTCCGACCGTCGATGTAGAGATCTACATGGTGAAACTGCCAAAGAAAGACATCCTAAATCAGGTGTAATCTAGTCTAGTAATTTATTATTAGAAATCATGCTAGAGCTTTTATTTCTGCTGCAAGATCTATAGTTCTGTGTGCATAGACCCATGCTTTTTTAAGGATAAAAGAAGGTTTTACGCCAATTTTCTTGCGGAAGTAGAGAAGAAGAGAACACATGAGATTATACTGGAGTATATTAATAGAAAGAGGAACTCAAGGAGATCGCAAAATTACACTTTCCTACTAAAATGCATGCACCAAATTGCTGCAAGTTTGGGTAATTTGTTTGAGGGAAATGAGGGACTTAGAAGCTTATTATTATAACTGTAATAACAAAAGTGGAAAAGAACAAAAAGATGAAAAAAAAAGAAAAAGAAAAGAGGAATGCAACATTCTGTTGGGATTTTGAGATAAACAGTATCACAACAAAATATGTTCTTTGGGCGTTTTGAGGTACCCATTATTACACAAAGACATGCTTACTCCAACAAACACGCAATTCAAACTGGTTGATGTTTCCTCGAGTTTCTTATTACAAATCAAAATTCTAGGAATAATATAGCTTCTGACTTCGTCAATTCTCAAGGAAGGTGACCTTGCTCCTTTAGTGACTGGATACAGTCATCAAACATTTCCTCAATCCCCTTGAACTTAATTCCAAGTTTCTGAACCTTGGACGTGTTGTACTCAAAGGGATGCTTCTGCACATAGTCGTTGAAGCTGAAAAACGCAAGGAAAACCAATCATAGTATCATATATAGTGCACTTTTTAACAGTAAGTCAAACAATCATTTTGATGTACGTCTCCTGTAGTGGATATATACCAATTTTGTGAAATTATTTTGACTACTAACCTCAGTGAAATGGGGAGCCATGGGTAACGTTTAGCAAGAAAAGCAGCTAATTCAGGGCCTTCGAGTACAGTACTCGTACAGAGGTACCTTCCTTCAGCCGTATCATCTTCATATACTTTGATATGGCAACTAGCAACATCATCAATGTGAACATAACCCATTCTTCCATGCCATGCAAATGTCTCATTTTCTCCTGCGAAAATATTTTGTTATCATCAATTGGAAGAACTCATTTTTGTTCCTTCTGATCAAAGTGACATGATATATTGGAAGATTTCAGGTACCAATTGCATTTTATTCCATTATCATGAATTAAGTTTGGCTATTAGTGACCTTCGTGCATTTGTAGATGGAAGAATTCAACTTAACAATGTAAGATCATTTGTATAGAACATATATTTTATGACATGTATATGTCTCTCTCTCTCTCTCTCTCTCTCTCTCTCTCTATATATATATATATATATATATATATATATATATATATAGATATATGTATGTATATATATATATGTATATGTATCTTTATATGTATATGTATATGTATGTATGTGTGTGTGTAGTTAATGTACAAGTATACACATTTTTTTTGCTTGAAGGGTTCTGAGGTGCAAGAGTAATGAGTTTTCACAAAAGGAATAAAATTAAGGTTCAATCATGTCCGATTCCATATTTTGATTGAATTACAACACCAAATTCTTCCCAAAGTGAGCGAAGGATTAAAGAGGCTTAATTATGTGCTAATTTACAAACTAATGATGTCAAGCTTGGTGTTTAGGCTCTTGATTACCTTTAAGCAGAGAAAGAACATTTGACGCAGTTGTATGTAAGTTGTAGGGTAGACTTGAACCAATGATGAACGACGGAATCACAGTTACAAGGTTAATGTTGTTTTCCTTTGCGAATTTCCATGCAGCCTGCTCTGCTAGAACCTTTGAAAGTGGATACCATGCCTGGATACAAAATAGGCCGAGAATATTAGACTATGGCTGATACCAATTAATGAACTACACGAAATAAGCCGAAATGGTCTTTATTTTACTGCAGACACCCCCCCTAAGCTATAGGGAACTTGTCACTTATTATTGACATGCTGTTTCAGTAGCACTTAGACCCATTGATATCCAAATGAGGTTCTCTCTCTATTAAATGCTTAATAACAGAGAATCTCTCTGTACCACATTGACGTCACACTGATAACAAAGTGATAGCTCAGTATGGGCATTAGAGATCCAAGTGCTGGTAGGCTGATAAATAGGTAACTCTATAGCACAGGGGTGTATCTACAAATGAACTCTAAATAAACAGGCAAATATAATATTTGAAGTAATAAAGGTAACATATAATTTATAACTAGATTCCATAGATTTCTTCCTCACCTTGAGCTTCTCACACAGTTCAGCACAGCTCCATGAGGTTTCGTCTAGTGGTTCTTTGGGGTAAACAGAAGGTCTTGCTACTGCTGAAATTGATGATGTGAGAACAACCTTCTTCAGAAATGGATTTTTCTTACATGATTGTAAAACATTCAGGGTGCCTCTAACTGCAGGATCTAGGACTTCAGCCTGAAATATGTTCAGTATTCGCATATGATCACATACAAATCGAAGAATATCAATTTCAATATAGAATACAGATCGTATGTTGACTAAATTCTATTCCCCTCAGCTGCACTGAAGGCAGATTTTTTACTTATCTCTTACTAGTGCATGTTCACAGTGCCACGTTCATTTAGTTAACTTGTGGGTTTAGGGACAAATTTTCAAAACAACCCTATTTGAACATTTAATCCCAAAAAACGACCTCTTTTGAACTTATTTGCAAAAACCGACTTGGTTTCAGTCTTGGCGCTGAAACCAGGTCGATTTTTGTGAAAAACTTCTGAAACTTCACGGGAGTTGAACTTCTGTGAAGTTTATAGTAAATCTGCTAAACTTCACGGGAGTTCAACTCCCGTGAAGTTTCATAGTTCAATTTTTTTTTTGAACTACAAAACTTCACGGGAGTTGAACTCCCGTGAAGTTTAGCAGATTTACTAAACTTCACGGGAGTTCAACTCCCGTGAAGTTTTGGAAAGTTTTTTTTTCAAAAACCGACCTGGTTTCAGCGCCAGAGCTGAAACCAGGTTGGTTTTTAAAAATAAGTTCAAAACGGGTCTTTTTTGAGATTAAATCTGGAAATAGGTTGGTTTTGAAAATTCGTCCGTGGGTTTAGTGCAACATAATAATGAAAATTAGCTCCCCACTGGAACAAAAAAAAAACAGTTAGATGGATATATGATAAATATGTTTGCAGTAATGACTCAAGAGTTAATTAGATTCTAGTAGATTGGACTGGAAAAAATTATCTGAAGATATAATTTTGCGATAAAAAGAACTGTTTCGAAATGAACATGCCTTTGGGTCAGATTTAGGAATCAAAACTACAGAAGCAAGATGGAAGACGCCCTCACATCCCATAATGGCATCATCGAAGCTGCCCTCTTCATTGAGATCAGCCTTCGACAGATGAAGTCTCTCCTTCGCTCCTTCTAGCTCCCAGAGATGTCCAATTTTCTTATAATCTCCTGTAGAAAATGAAATAATACCATAATTATAATATGTGACTTACAAGTTACATAATACGTGACCCATTATGGGTGATCGGATAGTTGGAAGGTTCCAATATATAGCTCCCACGGTCTTGGGTTTGATTCCAGCGACATGGTATCCTAACTCCAGTAGCCTCTTAACTATCCAAGATCCAACGAAGCCAGCAGCACCTGTGACACATACTTTGCCTTTGATGTCTGATGTCTTGTTTTGATCCATACTGCTGACCCTGGGAAAGAAGTGAAAAAAGAAATTTTGATCTGTGCTGTATACCTTAGTACATTGCAACTCGTGTATGTGCAATATATACTAGGACCTGTTAAAAATTAGATACATTAATTTTCTCTTGAGGAATGTCATTGTAGAAAGTTACATCTCAACTTTCATTTTGAAGAATTTCAGTATTCCAGTTTTCTGTAGCTCAAATATGACTAGTTTGGCTCATGTTGAACTCTACCAAAAGTGCATATGGATACAAATATGTACACCTTAATACTGAAAAATGGCATGTTTTTGCTAGTTCCGTCACGAAAACGAAATCCAAGAAAGATGACGATAGTCCATTCTCGTTTAATACTTCTAATATCCAAGAAAGGGGAATATTTCTTGAAACCAATCACAAAAATAACAAAGGAGTGACTATTTATTTGTAAAATGAGAGGCTCTGAATTGTTTAGAGCTCTGGCTTTGAGAGCTTAGTTTATTTAAGAATCAGATAAAAATATTTTTGGGGACGAATATCGAATTATTGAAGAATTGAGGAATTAAGAATATAATTAATTAATAGATAAAAAATATTTATCTCATGGTAAGAAATTTATGTTATTAAAATATTTTTAGATAGTGAAGGTTCAGAACTCCACCCATCATCAGCTATAATTTTACAGTTTTCATCCAAGGAGTGAAATAAAAACATTCGTAGAGAATTTTGAAGGGAATAATACGAATGCTTCACGAGTAGAATTTTGATCCCCAGTGATCTAATCCAAGATTTTCATGTAAATGGTCTCCATACTTATTCCTACTCCTGTATCATGTTGATAAAAAAACTTGTACTATAATTATTCCTACTCCTGTATCATGTTATTCTCTTTCTACATTTAACCAGCAAAATTGACGTGCACATTGCCGCGGAATTAGGGTGAAAAATGTCAAAAGAACAATGGTTTAAACATTTGATTTAAAATAAAATTCTCAAACTAAATAATTTAAAAGGAATAAATTGATCTGATGGTGTACTTTGGGTCTAAGTGATCTTTGAAGTTGTTGGATTTAAGTTAATAGGGTTAGAACTTTGGGTTTATAAGCAAAATCTCTTTTGGAAGTAGGTGAGTTTAAAATTAAATAAGGATAAAATTTTCAATTTTTAGGGATAAAATGGTATTGCAACATTAGAGTGAAAAAAAGTCAGAAGAATTAACAGTTAGAGAATTTGGTTTGAAAATAAACCAAGTTTTTAACCACTAAGAAAATATAGTAAGTTACAACAGAAAAAATAATAGCTTTCAACATATATCAAAATGCTAAAATACAAAGGGGGTTTAGAAATAAAGCAAATTTTAACTTTATAAAGAACTATGTTCGTTAGATCCGAAGGATACCAAAACTTGCAACATATTTTTTACGTGAATATGAGATAAAGAAATTATGCATTGATGGTAATTTTTTTTAAGGTTTGAGATATAAGTGGACTTTAGATACTTGCAAAAGCCTTTATAATGTGCCAACTATGTGAGTATTTTGTATAGTTAAATGAGAAATGCAGGAGTCTTGAATGTGCGACCTAGCTTTGCTATGCTTGAACCAAGTGAGCCATTGGGAGAGCTTTCAAATGTCATGTCTTTAATAATTTACATTTTACTTTAGATAATGACTGTTCATTTCTCAATAACTTCGCATACACACTTAAAGTTTGAAAAAAATTTAGTGCGAACTGTAGCAATGAATAGGTATCAACAACTTCAGCATACACATTTAAAAGTTGAAAAAAATTATTTTTTTGAGGTGTGACCTGTAGAAATGAACATGGAACTTCTAATTTTTTTAGGATAGATGGTAATAATAATATTAATAGTAATATTAACAATAATAATTTTTTTTTGGTCTAAGAGTGCTCGCGAAAGTGGATAGGTTTAAATACAAGGAAATAAATCTTTGGATTTTAAGGAACAAAGCCTTTTATGTGAGAATTTCGTTCTTAAAAACAAATTAGGCGAAACCTAGGAAATTGGGTTAATGAGTAATATATATATATATATATATATATATATATATATATGAGAACATATGGGTATATTTGGTACCTTGGTACCAAGCATAAATTTTGTGTTGTGTAGTGACTGACATGAACCCCTCCATTCATTCAAATGGGGGACCACATTCACATGGGTTGAGGAGTGCATGAGTTTTGAATGAGTGGAGGGGATTATACCATCTCACTACCAAGCACAACTTTTTGTACTTGATACCAGCATACTTCTCTCTCTCTTCTCTCTCTCTCTCTCTATATATATATATATATATATATATATATATATATATATATATATATATATATGAAAAAGTGTTCCTAAGGTGACACCTTAGATAATCATCTAAGGATGCGGCCTAAAATCACATGATTGAGCTACATTGTGGATGATCCGCTCCGTTGAACTTGATCTACATATTCTAAAACCTCAACACACCAAGTTTGGGGTGAACCCGTCAGTCGTTTGACCCTCAGTCGAGCCATGTGAAAAGTTCTATTTATTTGAAACCATTAGAATTGATACGAGTGAATGAAAAGTCAAACGAACAATGATAAACCCATTAGTTTAGTATATATAAAAATCCTTCATGATCCGGTAGTCTCTTAACCACCCCATGAAAATTGAAGTTTTTACAACATACCCTCTTGGCATCGTCACGTATTAAAAGTGAAATGATCAAAATGTCCTTTTTGAAATATACTCCCAAAACTGAAAAAAAGAAGGATAAAGGACTAATTTTCAATAATCTGAGGGGCATATTTGTCTTTTATTGTCACGTGGTCGGCTTGTGACTCATCAAAGTTCACGGTGCTACTTAGAGGGTTGAGCGAGACAGTTAAGGGGTTCCCCACCACCACCACTACCAAACTTTGGGGATTAAGTGAAAATTACCCTAAATTTCAGTGGAAGAGTAAAATGGAAGGGAAGTTTTAAATAATAAAGAAAAATGATACTTGTACCGCAAATCACAAGGTACATCAAAGAAACAAGAGTGAGAAGTCCTCAATGACTCGTAAAATTTGATAGGTCTTCCCAAGAGAAGACCACCACCACCTTATTGCGGCAAAAAAATTAGCTTGAGCGTGTGGTCTCCTTACTACTCTGAATAAACTTAATGAAAGTAAATATTAAGCAAAAGATAGCAAGCTTACGGGTGGAGAAAGAGGAGTAGGAGCGACCAGAGAAAGAGGAGGCTTGTGAATGAAGGAAGGGGTT